TCGCGGCCAGGCCGCAGACCGTCAGAGAGGCTGCACGTGCGCGCATTGGTGCGTGGTGCAGTGTGGTGTAGTGTGGTGGGAAGGAGCAGATAAAGGAGTGGAAGGAGGTTGCACCAATTGTGAAAGGGAGCGCGAAGGGCGCAGAACAGTCACGACAAGGCGTTACGAATTAACACACACACACACACACCACACAAACCACACACAAACACCACACACACACACGTGTGCGCGCATTCACGTACTCGGCGAGGCTCTTGTCGTCGGTGTGGTAGATGCCAAAGATGGTGCCAACAGACACGTTGCACTCAATGTTGGACGACCCATCGAGTGGATCTGTTTGCAGGAGGAGAAAAATATATGGGAAGAGTGGAGGGCACGAGGGAAGAATGCAAGCAAGTGTGCGTGTGCGAGTGCGTGTGAGGGAGAGTGAGCATGAGAGAGTGTGCGTGAATGTGCGAGAAAAGAGAGAACAATGGACAAAGAGGGAAAGCGAAAGCAAGCCAACAACAGGCAAAGACGTGCAACCAGCCTGCGAGCGGAAACGTACAAGAAAAGCGCGCAACACACACACACACGCACATTACACACACACAAGCACGTGCAGTGGACTGACCAAAGACGCAGACGTAGCGGGCGTGCTCAAGGCCCTCGACAACGATCGGCTCATCAAGCTCCTCGCTCACCATCACGCGAACCTGGACACAGGAGATGAGGTAATTGGGGGGGGGGGCGAAAACACAACAAAAAAAAAAAACGTGGCGAGTGAAGGCGTGCAGGTACGTGTCAGTGTGAGGGCATATACTCTTGGATGTGCGTCGACCACAGCCTGTTTTGTCTGTCGCCCACAACCTGCTTTCTCTGTCTGCCAACCCCCCCCTGTCTGCCTCTCCGTCTCCCTGTCTCCCTTCCCCACTAATTACTTTGTTCCCTGTACCCAGAGATGGGAGCAAGAGATCTGGCTGTCGACATGATAGCGCCGCCACACAAACCTTCTTGGTGTTGCGGAGGACATTGACAAAGACGTCGTTGGCGAGCACATCAAGCTTCTTCTGGTCTTCACCGCTCTGGTTGGCGCCGCCACCTGTGTTAAATCGGAGTGCGTTGGTGTTGGGTTGGTTAAATGGCGATGAGCTGTGTTGGGTGGTGGTGCGTTGAACGCGCGGTTGCATTGCATGCACGCACATGAGCTGACATGCACAAGGAAGTTGCATAACTGCACGCACCAAGCGCATAGAGGCCTTGCATCCCCGCATTCTGCACTGCGTTGGCAGTGACCTAAGCAAGCGGAGAAAACAGGGTTGGGTGAGCGACAACATGGCCTCAGGCGTGGAGCAAGCAGTGAGCGCGCGCGCGCGTGTGTGTGTGTGTGTGTGTTTGTTGTGTGTTCCAGTAGTCACCAGCAAACAGCCAGTCATGGAAACAACTTGGTGGCTCACACACTAACACATGCACACATGCACACCTTTGCGGCAACGCCGATGGCACCGAGGATGAAGCTGAGGGATGTGCGCGTCTTGCCATAGAGTTTGCGGCGCTCATGATCATCCTCCATGATGAACCGGCTGAGGGTCACCGGATCGGTCTGAAGTGCGAGAACATGACATTGTGTGTGTGTGTGTGTGTGTGTGTGTGTGTGTGTGTGTGTGTGCGAACAGCCGCGGTAGCAGTGAGGTGGTGACAGTGAACAGTTGAGATTGAAGATGATGAAGGCCCGAAATGCATTGCACAAGGCCTCGAAACGGTTTTGCCAGAGAACGCCATCACAGCCAAGCACATGGCGATCCACCTCAGTGATCCTCTCGCGCACACAAGCGTTCTTGCTTACGTTGTAATCGGCGTCAGACATGACTGTTGACAGTCGTGGCTTCTTTGCTTCCATACACGGAGATAGGTGGAGAGGGAGGGGAGAATGGAGCAAGGAGGAAAGCGGGGGTGTTGTTGTTGGCGAAAGTGACGGCCGGTGATGAGAGAGACGGGGATTGCAAAAGCAATCCAATCCCACAACGGAACAGAATGGAACACTGAATTCAGTGTGTGTGTATGTGTCTGTGTCTGTGTGTGTCTTGTGTCTGTGTGGTCGTGGGTGTGTGTGTGTGTGTGTGTGTGTGTGTGTGTCTGTGTGTCTGTGTGTGTCTGTGTGTGTCTGTGTGTGTCTGTGTGTCTGTTTGTCTGTGTGTCTGTGTCTATGTCTGTGTCTATGTCTGTGTGTCTCTCTCTGTCTGTGGATTCGTTTACTCGAGTCAACCCAAGTCGACTCAACAGTCGACTCAACAGTCGTGTCACATCATGTATTCCAGCCGCCCTTGACGCAGATGGCCTGTGAAACAGAAACAATGGAGGAGCGCGAGTGAGCTGAGTTAGAGATGCCATGCACAAACGTCTGCACACGCAAAAGTCTACACACAACAGGTCTGCACACAACAGTATTGACACCTACACACGCGCAGTAACGTGCTCGCACTTACATTACAGCACACGCACACACCACAGACATCACACCCATACATTCAACGCACGCACCCCGTCCACGTCCACGTGGCTGCCCGAGATGAATGACGCGGCAGGCGTGGCCAAGAAATAGGCCACTTCGCCCACCTGCAACAAACACACACACGCACACGCACACGCACACGCACACGCACACGCACACGCACATACAGTGCTCATGATGTATGAGTGCCGCCTGATACGAAGCAAGCAAGGGAGCAGCAGCCACGTTCTCAACAATCCACGCATACACACACACATGCACGTATACACACCACACACACACACATGCAGATACATACACACGCACACAAATCATACATTCACGCACACAAACCATACGTACACGCACACAAATCATTGGGATGTACCTCTGAGGGCTGTGCAACGCGTTGCTCGAGCGGGTACACCTTCCCTGCGTCCTCCAGCGTCTTGCCATCGCCTTCAATCAGCGCCTGCACGAGAGGTGTGGCAGTCTGTCGTTGCACGCGACACAAAACAGTGACGTCGTCCGGGTGAGAAAAAATGCCGTCACGGAACGTTTGGACAAATACACGCATACGGAGAGAAAAGGAAACGAGAGATGACGCACATGAAGTACAACCACACACACACACACATACACATATACAGGCACACACACACACACACACACACACACACACACACACACACACAAACACACACACACAAACACACACACACACAACCATATGTCGTTTGTGATCCAACCATCCCAGGAATCACACCACCGACACCAGCATCAACGCAACGAACCGTGCCGGGGTTGACTGCCGTCACGCGAATGCCATTCGGACCATACTCCAACGCCATCTTGGTGGTGGATGCGCAGATTGAGCGCATTGCGTTGTGGATGTGTCGCCGTGTGGGTGAAGCGAGGTTGTGAGAACCGTGGGCTCGATGTGTGACACGGGTCCAGGCAGAAATGACCAGCAAGCAAGAACGAAAAGCGGGCAGGAACCTCTCTGCAGCCAAAACCACGCGTGCAAGTCACCTGTCGCGTGAGAGAAAGCATGGCGCCCTTTGAGGCGGCGTACGCAGGTACACCTGGCTGGGACAACACCCCTTGCACGCTGGCCATGTTCACAATCACACCACGCGACCCCGTGAATGACGGAGAGCTGCTCAAGTCCCGCTTCAGCATGGCTGGCAGCGCCTGCGTGTGTGCGTGTGTGCGTGTGTGCGTATGGTTGTGTGAAGGAAATGGTTCTCAGGACTCATGAATGAGAATTGGAGAGAGGAGACTGCAAGTGGGGATTCAACACAGGCCAACGACATGACACACACACACACACACACACACACACACACACACACACACACACACACACACACACACACACACACACACGCACACACACGCACGACTCACTGCTTTTGAAGCAAAGTACATGCTGTCAAGGTTAACGGAGAGCACTTGGCGCCACAAGTGTGTCGGCAGCTCATGGAGAGGAACGCAGCTTGCTGGCGGCTGGATCCCAACGTTGTTGACGAGCACATCAATCGATCCACACCTGCCAGTGGTGCGCAGCACAGGCGGCAAACCATTGCCAGGTATTCCAGCACGACAGATCAGTTGTTGTCGACACGCACTGGCAGAGGCAACCTGCGAAGTCCACACGCCCAAGCACACGCGCGAGGACACACACACACACACACACACACACACACACACACACACACACACACACACACACACACACACACACACACACACACACACAGCAGACACGCGAGTATCGCTCACTTGGCAAGGATGATGTCAAAGGCCACGCGCACGGCATCTTCATCGGCCATGTCCACAGAAAAGAAGGTTGTATCAAGGGGTGCATCCTCCCCACCACTGTCTGGGTCCTGCAGTTGTCAATGGAATGAGTGTGCCACAACGAGTGCCAACAGCGCTACAACATTAACATCCCACGACAACTCGAAGAACAGACGAGCCAGAGGAGCAAGTCAAATGGTGTTACAATTGATTGACGCAGCTGAGCATGGCCACAAGCAAGGCAGCAAGCAACAGGTCAGCACTGACTGGCTGCGTGATGTCCAGGTTGAACACGGTGTGCCCTCGCTGCGCAAACGCGCGGACCACGGCTTGGCCGATGCCATGACTGCCGCCAGTCACCACCACAGTGCCTGGTGAATCAGGAACCTCATTTGATGGCACTGCTGCTGCTGCTGCTGCTGCTGTTGAGCTTCGTGTGTGTAATCTGTGCGTGGGTCTTTGTGTCAGGAAGGTGATGGGCGAGGCTGCTGCTGCTCTGCGCAACAACACGCCTCGCAAGGACGGCAGCAACATGACGGCGCTGATGGCTGCGAGCAGTGGTGGAAGCGGTGAGATCGTGTGCAGCAGTGAGTGTTCGTTTGTTTGTTTGGGTTGGCTGTTTGCTGATAATTGGGCGCATCTTCACCCATTGTTCCGTAATGCTTGCAGGCTTGTGTGGTTGAATGAAATGACAGAATGACAACAGTCGAGAGCAGACGAAAGGTGTAGGCTTCAGGTAAGAAGAACGCACACACGCACACACGCACACACGCACACACGTACACACGCACACACGTACACACGCACACCATGAAAAAGCGACAACAAACGCACGACATCCAGTAAGAGTAATCACTTCAACACTTCAACAAGTCACACCAGACGACAGAGGACAAGAGCAGCAGAGCACGTGCACATGTGAGCATGTGAAAATCACGTCCACCACGCAGGTGAACCAAAGCGAAAGGCTGAAAGGTGAGGGGAATGGTTGCAGGTTATGGTTGTTGACGCATGCAGCTTACCAGGCTTACATGCATGAAAACGAAAAGCAAAACGAGTCGTTATTCCATAATAAGGAGAACGGATAAGAAGGAGAAGAACCAGTGCAGATGGTAAACGGGTGGCTGCAAAAACAAACACACGCACACGGAGCGGTCTGGGCGGTTGCCTCGCTTGAAACTACAAGGCTTCAAAGCCAATCAACAACTTACAAGCTGAGACCCGGGCGACAAACACAAACCAAAAACAAACCAACACACAAACTCACAAAGAAGGCAGCACTCCTCCTGTGCTCATGCTGCTCGTCAAGTCGTCAAATGTGAAACTGACGACGACTCTGCACTGCCTGCGCGGCGATGACTTGACGCAGGGACTGGTTCTCGAGCTCCAACTCTTGTACACGGGCCTGCAGCGCGGCGATCTGACTTGACAAGCTCTGCTCATTGCGCCTGTGTTTGCGACGGTGCCTTGCTTGGCGGGCCCTGCCCTTGAGCCTCTTGCGCTCTGTCTTGAAGAGCTTCAGCCATGCTGGATGCTGTGGGAGGATGGCGGGCAACGTCTCCCCTTGAAGGAGGATGCGCTCTTTGAAGTAGCACTCGAGGGTGGTGCGGCCCTCGTTGTTGCGATTGTGTGCTTCAAGGGACAAGGCGGCATCATTCACAAATGCGTGCAACTCACGCGGTGGGAAGGTGCCACTCGCGGCCAGCGGGAGGGAAGAGGAAGGCGAAACGACAGGTTGTGGATGCTGTTGTTGTTGTAGTTGTTGTAGTTGTTGTAGTTGTTGTTGTTGTTGTTGTTGTTGTTGTTGTTGTTGTTGTTGTTGTTGTTGTTGTTGTTGTTGTTGTTGTTGTAGTTGTTGTTGTTGTTGTTGTTGTTGCTGTTGCTGTTGTGGTTGTTGCTGTTGTGGTTGTTGTTGTTGTTGTTGTTGTTGTTGTTGTTGTTGTTGCTGTTGTTGTTGTTGTTGTTGTTGTTGTTGTTGTTGTTGTTGTTGTTGTTGTTGTTGTTGTTGTGGTTGTTGTTGTTGCTGTTGTTGTTGCTGTTGTGGTTGTTGTTGTTGTTGTTGTTGTTGTTGTTGTTGTTGCTGTTGTGGTTGTTGTTGTTGCTGTTGTTGTTGTTGCTGAACAGGCTCATGGTTCTGCGCTGAGAAGCTCAGAGGTGGCGGGTATCCGAGGTCTTGTTGAGAACCCACGTATGGCTGGAGATCAAAGCCCTGGTCAATCCCAAAAACCTGATGAAGAAGCGTCTCGCCATCAAGCTGTTGAAGAAAAGCACGACGCTGCTCTTGCAGCGTCTGATCTCCGCCCTGTGTGCGCTGCTGTTGCTGCTGGCGATGGCTTTGGGATTCTTCGGTGGGCCTTGCGTTGAGGGGAGCGAGGAAAAAAGTGTCAAGGTAGGAGTCGAGGTCGTTGGGCGAGAGCAGATGTGAAGGGTCGGCGGCGTCTGAGCCGGCATCGCGTGGCGCAATGGCCGCCGTCAGCGCATTGGTGGCGGCGTCGCTTGTCACATCGACTTCAAGAGCTTCAGACCCAAACCCTGCCTGCTCCTGTTGTTGTTGTTGTTGTCCTTGGCGTCTCTGGGCCATCTTGGGTGGAAACCAACACAAACCTTCAGGAAGCAAGGACGAGAGGGGGTTCGCTCGTGTGGCCTTGTTGTTGTCGTCTTGTTGCCGTTGTTGCCGTGTGCACAACAAGACAAAACAAATACAAACAAGCACAGCACAGCGAAGCGCGGAAGCAGCAAGGGGAGCACGGGGCTTCTGTATCAGGTCGTGTCCAGAAGCCAGGGATGTTGGGAATGGTTTGGGCCTCTTGGCAAAGCCACCACCAAAGTCAACAAAAGGAGAAGACGACAACAGGAGAAGAGGAGAAGGCGCGCGCGCGGGAATAATGTTGTTGTGTTGATAATGGTGGGTGCTGGCTGGCTTGCGTGACACACGCCTTTGGTTTGTATTGCTGCCTGCAAGCACGAGCAACCAACTCACCAAACCAGCCACTTGCGGGACGACCTTGCACATCCGAAATAAAATGCAAATCATTCACTAATTTTCACAACTGCACAAACACAAACAAGCAACAAGCAAGCAACAAGCAAGCAAACAACGAGGATGATGCCACTGTTGCGTGTGGTGGTGCTGGTGGTGGCTGTTGCTGTGGGTGTTGTTGTTGGGTTCAATGTGGATGCAGCGCCGCTGGACCAACATGAGAGGTTTGCATCGCAGAGAAAAG